AATGCTGAACAGATACAAGAGGTTACCTCCAGATTAAGGGCTTATGGTCACATCCAAGGAAAAAATGTCTTTTACTGGTTTCAGAATCACAAAGCACGTCAAAGACAGAAGCAGAAGCTAGAAAGCCTTGCATGTTCCAATAGCTTTCTTCAAGCCTCACATCCTATTTGCCAAAATGGTCTGTTAGCTGATATAATTTTTTACTTTATAGTCATGCTTTTTTAAATACACATTTCTGTTGCCTATTCATTGAAACAAATTTACTTGCATTCATATGCTCCTGTGATTATCCATCCATCAATTGAAATAATAATATTCAAATTTTGTGGTGTGGAGGGTAGTCTGTAAGTACTACCATCTTATGTGGTTAAATCTTCTTTCCATTGTATTTTTGTATACAGAAACAATGAACAGTGTTAAATGAAAGTGCATATAACCTAATCAACTTTCCTATTCATACAATTGCATTAGCTAAGTAGGTACATGCACTTATTTAACCCAACCCAAAAGTCACCTTAAAGTGTTCATGTTTCTATAGTTTGTTTATCTTTCACATTAATTTTATCAAGAGTCTGAAATCAAAGATTTCTTTCATTGTTTTCAGTTGTCTGTGCCCCATTTTATCCTCAACAAAGTGGAATGAACTTTTATCCTCAACCAGAAAAGGTTGTTGCAACTGGAGGTATTGTTGGGACAGTTGTACCATTTGGGATGCTAAAAATTTGTGATGGCCAGCAGATATACCAACAATTGCGACAGAGGGTACAACCTGATTATAACTATAGCATCAATGACAAAAAAACTTTAAACCTCTTTCCTCTTCATCCAACAGGCATTTTGAAAGGAAAAACTGTTAATCAAGGGTCTTCACACGCTTCAGCTTCTGGTTGTCACTGATATATGATATGGTTCTCTTAGTGCTGCAGAAATCACCAACTGTTCTTGGATTTTTTCACTTCCCAACCATGTTCTCCCGAGAGATTAAATGTATTCACCAAAGCAACCAACTAGTACGTTTTTTCTAGATTGTTGATATCTGAAATCAGTTTTTTTATCTTAGATATTTAGTTTATGATTTGTGATGGAACAATTATGGAGTCACAAAAAAAAGTATTGACACTGTTGGTTAATTATAGATGTTGAATTTACATGTAGGAACTTTTTTATCTGATATGGGTGTAACAAAATTGAGAAGAGACTAGCAGTGTTTGCATTGTGTTTAGAAAGACACTGAACTTTGCCCTACTTGATTAGTGTGTTACTATGATTTTTATAAGGAGAAGGTATAGTTGTCTTCCCTCCATTGATAAGGGATATCTCCACTTTTGAAAGTTTAATTTTAAAATCAATATTTAGTCTTAATTATAAAATAAAAACATTTTTTAATTAAGAATGATTATTAACTTGTTCAACATATTACATTGCAAAAGTGTTTCTTTATTATAAAATTATATAAATGACCTGAAAAAAATATTCATTTGTTTAGAAAAAAATTTAATCAAAAGTAATTATTGCATATGTTTTTTCCAACTTAATTAATCACATAATGTATATCCTCTAGAAAATTCTAATACCTAGTAAAGGATAATTGTACATTATATTTTAAGATAAATAAAACATTATAGATTTAATTGTTCTTTGAAATTGATCCTGTAAGTATATAATTAATACTATAATTAAAAAGTTACTGTGATAGTTCTTGTCCAACAAAGATATAATTTACATAAAAAATTTGGACAAAAAATGAAAATTTATTATTTTACCAACATTAAAAACTAACACGGTAATTTAAGGTAAAAAAAAATTCTTCTTCTTCTTATTTATTCAAAGGAAAAATGGTAATAACTTAAGAATAAAACGAAAAGTATTCTTAGAAATAATACTAGGTAGTATTTATATTTAAATACATAAAATAAATGTAAATAAATTCTAAAACCTTTTTCAATTGGATTAAAATCACAAAGGGAACGGGTGTCTAATTACTATACAATAATATATTGAAAATTTTATTTAAAATTAAACCACAAAAATACGGAGAGAATTGGAAAAGAACATAAATAAAAGAATGGTAAAAGAACAAATTCAAACACAAACATATACAACTATAAGTGGTATACAAGTTTTCATACACACTTTCCATTTACTATTATATTCTTTAATTTGTCTCTTTCTTTACAAGTATAAAATCTATTTTTTTAATATCAAAATATACTCAATATTTTTTAGCTGTCTTTTCCTTCTTCTGTCAATATTTCAGTATTATTAACATAATTTACAAACCCAACTTCTTTGTAAATTTAACAGTAAACCTGGCATGGAGTTTTGCTACTTATGCTTAGATGTGTTTTCCTTTTTGTTTCCTTTCTCTCTCAACCTCTGCTTATACCTTCTTCAAGTTCCTCATCTCTTCCTCCATTACTGTTTTATCTTGTTTCTGCCTCTTCTTTTGTTTTAGTAACTATGCATCTTCGCCAAAGGGAAGATCAAATGGGAATTCAACCAACCATTTTCCATCCAAGATCAGTTAATCCCTCCGCATTGTTAGGGGCACTCAACACCCATATTTGGTACACCGAACATTCCATTGAGATTGAAACCAATTTCATCAGTGTCAATACATTGTGATTGTCAATGGAGCTATAATTAAAAATAAAAATTACAACGAAAAAAACAAACATATACAATTGGCATACAATTTGGTGAATTAGTTGTTAAAAGAGAATAACTATTTCCATTGATCATGTGAAGTCAAAACAAAATTTAGCAATCCTCTGACTAAACCCTTGAAAAAATATATGATCTTAGAAATATCAAGGGAAATGAGACTTAAATCACTTGCAAACAAACAAAATGATGGTAACTAAACCTTTGTGATTAAATATCTCATGAATAATGTTAATACAGGTAAAAACAATAGCACTAAATTGATTTTAATGAATTATGTCTATTTGTGTGTGAAAATGTTAGAGATTGCATTATGAGAAGTTAAACTTTGTCATTAAAATTATATATTGCGAAAGAATTTTAGCTTAAACAAAGTTTGTAATGATTTTTATATCCTTTACAGGTGGTGTATAATTTGCAACATATGATGAAATTACCTATATGAGTATTAAGTGAGGCCGATTGCACGAGATCTTAGGATGATCTCTAGAGCACTCATGAATATCGATCACTCATGGCCTAGTAAGCGCAACAAAGTAATAACAACAAGGATTGTGGGTGATTGATAAATCTCTAACACATGTCAAATGTCTTTGATTCATATGATTTATTATACCAATTACATTGTGTGTCAAACTTTTATCTACTTTTTGTACTAGGGCCTATATAGTTATTTGCCCCTTAGCTCTTGTATTTGAACTTTAGGAATGAATCTATGCATTACTTTGCCTTTTCTTGTTCATTCTTTATCTTTCACGCTCCTTCCCCAGTGATGGACTCTAGGAGTTCACTTGGAACGTTCCCTAGGTCGAAAATGCTAAGGTGAGAGTTACAAGAACGTACCTTACCGATCATTAGACTCTAGGAGTTCACTTGGAACGTTCCTCAGGTTCAAAATGTTAAGGTAAGAGTTACAAGAACATTCCTCACCGATCGTTAGACTCTAAGTGTTCACTTGAAATGTTTCCTAGGTCACAAATGCTAAGGTGAGAGTTACAAGAACGTTCGTTACCGATCGTCAAACTCTAGGAGTTTACTTGGAACGTTCCCCTAGTCGAAAATGCTAAAGTGAGAGTTACAAGAACGTTCCTCATCGATCGTTAGACTCTATGGGTTCACTTGGAACGTTCCCTAGGTCGAATTCTTCTTATAACTTGCTTAAAATTTAGATGGTAAACACCTGATTTTATTAATAGCTGAACTGCACACAACATCGTAAACTTTCAATTGAAATAAAATTTAAGATGTGACGCATTAAAGGTGTTGGGTATAGCTTTGTCTGTCGGGTGCCCCATCACCAGCAGAGAATTCATCCGACATTCAACGAAGTTGCCCCAAAATCTTTAACTAGTTCAAGACTAGCAATCACTGCTTCATACTCAGCCTGATTGTTACTAATCTTGAACCGAAAGAGGATGGATTGTTCAACAAGTAATCCATTCCGGCCTTCTAAAACGACTCATGCTCCCACGTCTGTTCAGTCGGCTGATTCGTCTACAAAAAGTTTCCACGACCATGAAGACTCTTCTCCTTTTAAAGGTAATTCAGCTGCAAAATCAGCTAAGTGTTGCCCTAGAACAGATCCACGCGGTTCAAATCGTAACCCGAACTCGGACAACTCTACCGACCAACCAACTATCCTTTTTGCGAGATCTGGTTTGCGCAATATCTTAGCAATGGATGGTCAGTTCTTACTACCACCCGATGGTCTTGAAAATAAGGCATCAGTCGTCGTGCGACTACGATAAAGGCTAAAGCAATCTTCTCCACTTGCTTATACCTTGTCTCTGCATCTTGCAGATGTAACATCCCAATTATTATAGCATTAAACTATAATAGAGTTCTTACATCATTGATACAATAGAACAGTGGATAGGAGGAGGAATAACAGTTTTCCTCATTATTATACAAACCCACACTCAAATTTCAAACCAAATACGATTCACACTTAAAACATAGACAATTTATAAGGCTCATTCTTCAAACTAAGCTTCCGTCGATCCTCCATCTAATGCTTGCTCCACCGGCATATCACCAACTTCTGCTCCCATCCACCGGATGATCATCGCCAGACAAAACACATAACACAAAAGAACAACCACACAACAGACAAAGCAAGGGTGAGCTAATGCAATACAAAACATCATGGTAAATTAACCAAACTTCCATCTTATAAGTTAAATTACTCAATAATATAATAAACGTACCATTATCATCGNCCCGCTAGCTTCAGAACCTAGCCATGCAAAGAGTCTTAGAAATAATTAATGAACAATTCTTATATTAGGAATGCTATAAGTAGTGTATCACAACAAAGAAAGAAGAAGAAGAAAAAGATGGGGAGTCGCTCTGCAATGAGAAGAGAACCAAGTAGAACTCATTCAGTTTCTCGGTGGAGTCCTACAAGAGAGCAAATAGCAATGTTGGAGGACCTTTACAGACAGGGAATGAGAACTCCAAATGCTGAACAGATACAAGAGGTTACCTCCAGATTAAGGGCTTATGGTCACATCCAAGGAAAAAATGTCTTTTACTGGTTTCAGAATCACAAAGCACGTCAAAGACAGAAGCAGAAGCTAGAAAGCCTTGCATGTTCCAATAGCTTTCTTCAAGCCTCACATCCTATTTGCCAAAATGGTCTGTTAGCTGATATAATTTTTTACTTTATAGTCATGCTTTTTTAAATACACATTTCTGTTGCCTATTCATTGAAACAAATTTACTTGCATTCATATGCTCCTGTGATTATCCATCCATCAATTGAAATAATAATATTCAAATTTTGTGGTGTGGAGGGTAGTCTGTAAGTACTACCATCTTATGTGGTTAAATCTTCTTTCCATTGTATTTTTGTATACAGAAACAATGAACAGTGTTAAATGAAAGTGCATATAACCTAATCAACTTTCCTATTCATACAATTGCATTAGCTAAGTAGGTACATGCACTTATTTAACCCAACCCAAAAGTCACCTTAAAGTGTTCATGTTTCTATAGTTTGTTTATCTTTCACATTAATTTTATCAAGAGTCTGAAATCAAAGATTTCTTTCATTGTTTTCAGTTGTCTGTGCCCCATTTTATCCTCAACAAAGTGGAATGAACTTTTATCCTCAACCAGAAAAGGTTGTTGCAACTGGAGGTATTGTTGGGACAGTTGTACCATTTGGGATGCTAAAAATTTGTGATGTCTAGCAGATATACCAACAATTGCGACAGAGGGTACAACCTGATTATAACTATAGCATCAATGACAAAAAAACTTTAAACCTCTTTCCTCTTCATCCAACAGGCATTTTGAAAGTAAAAACTGTTAATCAAGGGTCTTCACACGCTTCAGCTTCTGGTTGTCACTGATATATGATATGGTTCTCTTAGTGCTGCAGAAATCACCAACTGTTCTTGGATTTTTTCACTTCCCAACCATGTTCTCCCGAGAGATTAAATGTATTCACCAAAGCAACCAACTAGTACGTTTTTTCTAGATTGTTGATATCTGAAATCAGTTTTTTTATCTTAGATATTTAGTTTATGATTTGTGATGGAACAATTATGGAGTCACAAAAAAAAGTATTGACACTGTTGGTTAATTATAGATGTTGAATTTACATGTAGGAACTTTTTTATCTGATATGGGTGTAACAAAATTGAGAAGAGACTAGCAGTGTTTGCATTGTGTTTAGAAAGACACTGAACTTTGCCCTACTTGATTAGTGTGTTACTATGATTTTTATAAGGAGAAGGTATAGTTGTCTTCCCTCCATTGATAAGGGATATCTCCACTTTTGAAAGTTTAATTTTAAAATCAATATTTAGTCTTAATTATAAAATAAAAACATTTTTTAATTAAGAATGATTATTAACTTGTTCAACATATTACATTGCAAAAGTGTTTCTTTATTATAAAATTATATAAATGACCTGAAAAAAATATTCATTTGTTTAGAAAAAAATTTAATCAAAAGTAATTATTGCATATGTTTTTTCCAACTTAATTAATCACATAATGTATATCCTCTAGAAAATTCTAATACCTAGTAAAGGATAATTGTACATTATATTTTAAGATAAATAAAACATTATAGATTTAATTGTTCTTTGAAATTGATCCTGTAAGTATATAATTAATACTATAATTAAAAAGTTACTGTGATAGTTCTTGTCCAACAAAGATATAATTTACATAAAAAATTTGGACAAAAAATGAAAATTTATTATTTTACCAACATTAAAAACTAACACGGTAATTTAAGGTAAAAAAAAATTCTTCTTCTTCTTATTTATTCAAAGGAAAAATGGTAATAACTTAAGAATAAAACGAAAAGTATTCTTAGAAATAATACTAGGTAGTATTTATATTTAAATACATAAAATAAATGTAAATAAATTCTAAAACCTTTTTCAATTGGATTAAAATCACAAAGGGAACGGGTGTCTAATTACTATACAATAATATATTGAAAATTTTATTTAAAATTAAACCACAAAAATACGGAGAGAATTGGAAAAGAACATAAATAAAAGAATGGTAAAAGAACAAATTCAAACACAAACATATACAACTATAAGTGGTATACAAGTTTTCATACACACTTTCCATTTACTATTATATTCTTTAATTTGTCTCTTTCTTTACAAGTATAAAATCTATTTTTTTAATATCAAAATATACTCAATATTTTTTAGCTGTCTTTTCCTTCTTCTGTCAATATTTCAGTATTATTAACATAATTTACAAACCCAACTTCTTTGTAAATTTAACAGTAAACCTGGCATGGAGTTTTGCTACTTATGCTTAGATGTGTTTTCCTTTTTGTTTCCTTTCTCTCTCAACCTCTGCTTATACCTTCTTCAAGTTCCTCATCTCTTCCTCCATTACTGTTTTATCTTGTTTCTGCCTCTTCTTTTGTTTTAGTAACTATGCATCTTCGCCAAAGGGAAGATCAAATGGGAATTCAACCAACCATTTTCCATCCAAGATCAGTTAATCCCTCCGCATTGTTAGGGGCACTCAACACCCATATTTGGTACACCGAACATTCCATTGAGATTGAAACCAATTTCATCAGTGTCAATACATTGTGATTGTCAATGGAGCTATAATTAAAAATAAAAATTACAACGAAAAAAACAAACATATACAATTGGCATACAATTTGGTGAATTAGTTGTTAAAAGAGAATAACTATTTCCATTGATCATGTGAAGTCAAAACAAAATTTAGCAATCCTCTGACTAAACCCTTGAAAAAATATATGATCTTAGAAATATCAAGGGAAATGAGACTTAAATCACTTGCAAACAAACAAAATGATGGTAACTAAACCTTTGTGATTAAATATCTCATGAATAATGTTAATACAGGTAAAAACAATAGCACTAAATTGATTTTAATGAATTATGTCTATTTGTGTGTGAAAATGTTAGAGATTGCATTATGAGAAGTTAAACTTTGTCATTAAAATTATATATTGCGAAAGAATTTTAGCTTAAACAAAGTTTGTAATGATTTTTATATCCTTTACAGGTGGTGTATAATTTGCAACATATGATGAAATTACCTATATGAGTATTAAGTGAGGCCGATTGCACGAGATCTTAGGATGATCTCTAGAGCACTCATGAATATCGATCACTCATGGCCTAGTAAGCGCAACAAAGTAATAACAACAAGGATTGTGGGTGATTGATAAATCTCTAACACATGTCAAATGTCTTTGATTCATATGATTTATTATACCAATTACATTGTGTGTCAAACTTTTATCTACTTTTTGTACTAGGGCCTATATAGTTATTTGCCCCTTAGCTCTTGTATTTGAACTTTAGGAATGAATCTATGCATTACTTTGCCTTTTCTTGTTCATTCTTTATCT